TTTTTAAAAAGGCCCACAAAATATAACGCTTACACATATATTTATAAATTCAAAAATATTTTTAAAACAAAACAAACTAAAAAAATGCACAAATATTAAGCTTATAAAAGAAACTAAGGCATTCTAAAATAGTTCATTAGCAACACTTTGGACCAACAAAACATTCCGTATCGCGTTGTGTTAACCCTAAACAAGCTTCATGACACCATTTTGCGCAAGTTACACATTGTCTCATGTCAAGTTTGTCTTCAGTTCCGCAAAGAAAACAGTACCACGAATCACTGTCCAATGCTTTTTTTTGAGGAAATTGAAGCCGAAAATTATGACGTGAAGGTCTAGGTTCTTTTGCTGCAGACTTACTGATTGACGTTGAAGATTTAGATTCTTTTGATGCAGACCTGATATCTGCTGTTGAAGGTTTAGATTTTTTGCTGCAAACTGCCTGGAGGTAGCAGATACTGATGTCGACTTTGTGCTAACGGATGAAAAAAGTTCTTTCGTTACCGCTTGCGCTTTATAATTAAGGGATTTTTTTTCCTGTCAGCTGTGGTATTGTTTTTATTCTTTGTTGCAAAAAACTCAGGAGTAGGAAGCAATTCCTTAAAAGACCTATTAAGAATTTCTTTACTAGTGTCCATCATGATGTTGTCAGTCAACGTTTTATCTGTAGCTGTGGTCCCCCCGGCGATTTTCGTGATTCGTCTTTTTTTACTGGTGTTTTTTCTCCATAATTGCTGCTTCCTGCTATTGCTGAATCTTTCACGATTTTTGCTAGCTATGTTTGTGTTGTCTCGCAGAATTTCTTCATCAGGTACAGGTCGTTCAGGGTCTTCTAAATGGCGCTGGCTTACAAGTGATGGGGCAAATGCTGACTCTGGAATCATTTGTGGATCAAGTGGAAACATTCCAGTGGCTTTAAATCCGCTAATAATATTCTCAGGCGTCATACATTTGAGTCAGACTTTGGTAAAAATTTTATCGAATCGACTCTTATTAAGACGTCGATCTGGATGCACATCCCAGAATTTAAGCAGTTCTTGGTCCCAGTGATGCTCAAAGGATCTGTAAACTGCCTTATCCAGTGGTTGGAGTTCATGCGTCGTATTTGAAGGTAGACAAAACAATCTAATTCCAAGACGGTCTGCAGCGTCCACAATAGAAATATCCAGATGACTAGAGGCTCCATCGAAAACTAATAACGCCGGTCCATTACCTTTGTAACGAGCTAGATGTTCAATAAAACGAATGAAAAGTGATGTTGTCATGCTACCCTTATCTGACATTTTTACAAGGGTACCAGCCGGTAAAGCATCTTGCCATTCTGGATTCAACCTTTTCCCTTTAAAAATAACCATAGATGGTGTTTCCTAGTGCATTACAACACCCCGCAATAGTCACATTTTCAGCGTGCTTATGTGCTACCATGTGAATTCATTTCGCGCCCCTTTGTCCAATTACTTCAAGGGTTAGTTTTAATAATTTTTTTTGTAACATTTTTTCTTATTGTAGGTGAGCATGTGACTCTTTATACGTTGAAGAAAAAATTAGAAGATATATATGGGATAAATACATCAATTTCTTCACTCAATAGGGCTTTAAAATAATTAAAATTCAAGTGGATAAGCTGTAACATTTCTAACAGAAAATATCTCATGGAATAGTCACATGTTACCCGAAAAAGATGATGTTTTTTACGAGATTTTTAAAAAAATGAAAGTGATTCTCATCATCTCAAGTCTGTATATCTTGATGAAACTTCTGCAAAGGAGGATTTCGCAAAAGCTGGCAGGATGGTACCGATAAGGCAGTCAGAAAGAAGAGTGGTAAAGGTGTACGATACATTGTTCTTCATACGGGTTCTGAAAATGGGTTTATTAATGATTGTAGATTGATATTTAAAAGTGGTAGTAAATCTGGCGATTATCATGATTCAATGGATGCTGATAATTTTGAAAGATGGTTTGAATATCAGCTTCTACCAAGCTTACAAGAACCGTCATTAATAATAATGGACAATGCGTCGTATCATTCAACGTTGCTCGAAAGAATACCAAATGCAAGTTGGGACAAAGTTTCTCTGATTATTTGGTTAAAAGAAAGGAATATACAGTTTCCAATGTCTAGTATGAAGTTCGAATTGTTAGAAATTGCCAAGAAACATGTACCAGATAAAGTCTACTGGTATGTTATGATATGATATAATTTCTTAAGATATTAAAAATGCATATTTTACATATTAGATAGATTAGATCTTTTGCATGGCCATCGTGTGTTGAGACTGCCTCCATATCACTGCCAGTTCAATCCAATTGAACTTGTTTGGTCTAAGTGTAAACGGTATTACGATGCAAAAATAACTTCGGCAGAACCTATTACAGCAGATACTGTAATTAGTGTTTGACGAATCTCTTCAACAGGTTTAATGCAAAGTTTTTTCTTATGCTATGGTTTATAATTGTTATGTAATTGTAGATTACACCAGAAAAATGGAAGAGGTATGTAGACCATACAAGAAAAATTATTGATAAATATTGGGAGACTGCAAAAATCATTGATGCAAGTAATATATCTCCTGTAATCATTGATTTAAACGAATCGGATAACGAATCAAATTGGGACTTGTGGGAAGACAACTCCGCATAATAAACGTTTATTGTATTGTATTCAAAAATGGCTGTTGTTCTACAAGTTTAAAGTTACCAGTTTTGTTAAATTTCAATGATTTCCAAGGTAATTTATCGAATAAAACTTACATTTCTTATTGTAGGTTTCATCCGGCAAGTGATCCTTGTTGTCTTATAATAACTAATTTTAGGAATTTATCTACTAATGTTATATTTTTTATGATAATAAATATCAATTAAAAATACATTTTGTTTTATTTTGTAATGTTTTGATATCACAATTCTTATTAATTTCAAAGCCTTTTCCTATTTGGCTGAATACGATCCTGACAACTATCAAAATTTTGTAGAGTCGCCATCAAATTTCATGTAATATTCTTAGATAATGTAATAATCAAAGACATGCCGAAAACATGATATTACGTTATATTTGGTACGTGCAAGTGAAAGGCTATGCAATGAACTATAGTAAGAATAAAACTATAAGACAGAATAGCGACAAAGGCAATAGAAATAGGAAAATAAAACAAAGGCAGCGAGGAAAACCCAGGATGAAATCAATTGACCAGATTGAAGATATCGAAAGATTTTGATAGAGATGAAGGTAAAAAATGGAAGAAATGGGTTCAAAAAGAAAAAGGGTCCTTTAAAAGGCAGAAGAATTGGTGGTCTTGGGTCCTGCGTACAAAGTGTTGAACAAACTTCTGTTTCGGATGTCAGTTATTATTACTGTTAATTATGGCTAAAGAAGAATTCTTTTAAATCAATTCAAGTCTAAATTTTCAAGAGGATGGGAAATTTGTCATGGTAACAATTACCTAGTGCAGAAGATTCATCAACGTGGTAGATACAGGTTGAAAGAACAGTAAGTAACAAAGTACGTGGAATGACAATAATAATCCATAATAAAATCAGGAACTATACCTATTTTACTTCATCTTGAAGGGCACTTTCATTTAAGTTTCAATTTAACACCATACTTTCATCTACTGTGAATGAACTCTTTATTTGTTGACCTTTAATTTACTTGATTGGCTTTAATTTAATAACATTAAGAATGTAGGTACTTCTGGGTATGCTACCAGTTTATATTGTTATTCTTTCAAAGAGTGGTGCAGCGAACAAGGTTAAGAGAATGTATACAATTTTTAACTAAGAACGCTTTGATACAGTTTGTCAAAGTGTTTACCACACACCAGCACAATGACAAGACTGTTAAAGTTACTGTTTATAAGAAAATGCTTTATTGATTTTTGACATTATGTGGCTTTCAGTTACCTACACCAGTGAAAAAGGGTTTTAATCCTAGGTTCATTATTATAACACCATCTATAATGAATGAATAAATTGTCTCCAATTTTTAAACTCGATGAAAGTGTGAAATGAAAGTGAAATATACAAATATGGAAAGGATTAATAAATTACTTTTTGTTTTACTCTATTTTCTTTTCTTTCTTTCACTTGCTTTTAATTGATGTCGTAAAATAATGTAAACGTACCTTAGCTAAGGTGCTGTATAGTTTTAAAATATTATTGCCTTTAGAGATCTGTCATTTTCAAAAAATAGTACTTGTATGTTAGGTAACAGGTAAAGAAATTAAGTGTTTTGAGTATCGTTCTGTTTACATACGTTTGAAAAAATGCATATTCTGTACAATATTGGCCTGTTTCTAGATATACCTGAAAAGAACATAAGTCTTGTTAATAGTATTTTTTTTTTTTTCAGTTTTATGGCTTTAATAGTATACAATTGAACTGATCTGGTCACAATTAAAAGGTTATGTTTCTCTAAACAATACCTAACAATACAACATTTAAATTACCTAATGTGCGAAATTTGTTTTTAAAGGCAGTTTCGGACGTAAATTGAGAACATTGGAAAAATGCATTGATCATGTTAAAAAGGTGGACAATTCATTTTGGTAATTGGATATAGCAATGGAAAACTTAATAGACCATATAATAATAAACCTCAGAAAAGACAATGATAATGATACCAGTAGTTATAGTGAAGACAGTGACTTTTAAAGATAGTTCTTGAACTTTTTATTTTTTAACTTTTTCATTCAAAATTTAATCTACGAATTGCGTATATTATATCGATTTATGTACCGTGACCTTATTTATATTAATAGAAACTTATTTTGCAAAGTACGCCTATGGAATATGACGTTATATCCCAACTTTCCTCTAACCTAAAATATTACTGCCTATTTTTTTAATATCAAAACTAAACGCATGTTTGATAACAAGTTATCAACATAACTTGACATACCACACCGATGGTTTGAATAACAAAATGTCATAATTTTGTCAACTACCAAATAAAATATATAAAATTTTAATAATATAAAAAAGAACTAAAAGAAAATTTACCCTTCAACTCCGCCAATTATGACTTGCGCCATCTTCAGTGATTTCTAAAATGTCGATGAATCATCACAAAACAAAAATTTTGATATATTTTTTGTAAATTCATTGTAATTTTTAAGACCCGTGACAGTTCATTTTGTTTAGGATTGTTTGACATTTAAACGTTTTAAGACGGATTCTATTTAATTTATACAGGATGGACCATACTTATAAACAAACCATTTCGTCAATCAAATAGGAAAACGTCGAATATCGAAAAAAATGTTGTTGCTAATATGTCATTTGGTGCCAAAATATCTTAAATATGCTGAACTAAGACTAATCCAGAACGCATACAATTATAAGATCAAATCATAAGAAAAAAATCAGGTTTATAGTTCTCCTGAAAAATGCAGTTTTTATAGCACAAGTAGAAGGCTTTTGCCAGTTCTCCCTCTTTATACACATAAATTGACAGGTTTTCGGCAGATCTAACCGAAGTGGACGCTATACATTGGCGTACAAAATTATTTTATAGATGTTAATAACAATTTCGAGTAAATAGTTTAATAAATTGTGAATAGCTGTTGAAATTTTGTATAATTATGATTTGAATATTATAATACATGTTTAATAATTATTTATAGTCCATAAATACATGCGATTGTCCGGTTCCGCCGGTAAAAATTTAAAATTACTTATTCTATGAAACGACACTGGCAGGTAAACATTACTCCGAAATTATCCAAGCTGTCCGACGTGGTTTACCCCCTCTCTACCTACCAAAAGTCTTTCCAATTTCTACTTGTACTATAAACATACGATATTTTGCACTTGAATAACGAAATAATTTTGCTTTCTTGGCTACATGCGCTCTGGGATAACTTACAGATGATAAAACGTACCATTTTAAGTACAAGTGGGGAAAACCCACCATCCATCAAATCCAACTCAAAACCATTGTAGAAACTGATTTTTTTATTTGTATAGTAAACGCAAAGGAGTAGCCTCAATCATATACAAGTACAGAATTTCCAAAACGAAAAGTATACCTTACAATAAGTTGAACAAAGTTTGATAGGAACATGAACATAACCGAAGGAGATCGTGTTGTTAGCGAGCATTGATACTGCTTCGAATTTTGCTTGCCCCAATAGATACATAAGACTCAGATGTATGCGCAACTAGTGACAGCGGTCTCTATGTTCATGTTCCTAATATACCTTGTTAAACTGTAAGGTATACAGGGTGGACCGGATTTAATTTGCGTATACAGAGATCTCGTAAACCGTAAGATATACATTGTCGGTTAAATGGGGAAAAAGTTTCGTATTTTGACGGATAATACAATGGTCCATAGAAGTTCCAGATTTTCTGACTGATTCCGGAGATATAAGATAAAATTTCGTATTTGCAGGGCCACCTTCAACTTATTTTTTTAAATACGGACCTGGATTTTTAACTGTAGATTTTTATAGCTTTTGTATAGCTAAATACATTGATATGTTACACTTTATCATTTTACTACGTTTCGTCTATAAAAATATCATCAGCTATGTAGCTTCTGATGATACCGTTTCTTACTTGATTAAAACAAGGTAGCTAATTAAATAATAATTAAAAAAACAAAAAATGCTTAAAATATGAAATTTTAAATATTATTTGAAACATAATACAAAAATTATTTAATTACAAAATGGGTTACAATTTTTTATCAAACATGATTAAGTACAACCAGCAGACAAGACTAATGAAAAACGAATTATGGTTGTACACATTCTACAAATAATAAAGCTAATAACAAAACCAAAATTCAAAAACAAAAACAGTCACAATAGTTGCTCAAAATGTAGTCCATTCTGTTGGATACAGAGTGCAATTCTCCTAGACATTTGGAATGTAGTTTTATCAACCATTTCTGGTGTAATTTTTTGAAATGCATCTACTATTCGTTGACGAAGTTCTTGTAGATTATTTGGCATATTTTTGTCGTAGATTTGGTTCTTTACGAAGCCCCATACAAAATAATCCATGGGGTTATGATACGGAGATCGAGGAGGTCATCTTATTGGTCCATTGGTACCAATCCAATTACCTCTAAAATATTGATCGAGATACTCTGCAACCCTCCTAGCATTGTGTGCACCACAACCGTCTTGCATAAAGTATTGAAGATTTTGTCTTGTTTGTAAGGGCAATAATCTAATTATTGATTAGTCCACACCACACATTTTGGGTAAAACGGAACTGTGGTCTAACTTCTCTGATTAAATGGGGTTTGGAAGTAGCATACAAATGCTTGTTCCTGGGATTAAATATTCCACTATTAGTAAAGGAGCATTTATCCGTCCATAATATCTTTTTGTTGAAAGAACGGTCATTGCGCAGTTTTCTACTATACCAACGACAAAACATCCGTCTTCTATCAGAGTCTCCAGCGTGTAACTTCTGGACTTTTTGAAATTTATACCCGTGTTTCTTTAAAATTGTTTTAATCGTGGAGGTTCCTACTACACATTCTTTAGCTATTCGCCTAGTAGAATTTTCAGGGTTAATATGTATTTGGGCAAGAACATTAATTTCATTATCAGTATGTCGAACCTAATATCTAGTTCTCCTTTTTTTTACACTGCTATGCTCTGCCATATTTTTTGAAATATAAGAAAACATCCTCTTAGATGGCTGTTGTCTATCAGGATATAAATCTAAATAGGTCTGAGCTGACCGGGTTTCATTCCTATAGCATCTTATGTACACATCATACATATCTTTCTTCTCTTCTTCTGTATAACGAACCATAATATTTATTTAATTTTAAATTATTTAAAGCTAAAAAAGTACTGTAATATTAGATGTTATAGATTATAACAGAAATATTGGTGACATGTTACAACTGACATGCATGGCAAACATGATTTTGTTAAGATCTTATGTATGCAAAAATGAAAACATAGAAAAAATACGGTGTGAGAAACCTAAGCCAAAGATTTTACAGAAAATCAGGTGATAGGAATTTATAGATTGCTTGACCGTTTTGTTTTTCATTTTATGTTTTTGTTATTAGCTTTATTATTTGTAGAATGTGTACAACCATAATTCGTTCTTCATTAGTCTTGTTTGCTGGTTGTACTTAATCATGTTTGATAAAAAATTGTAACCCATTTTGTAATTAAATAATTCTTGTATTATGTTTCAAATAATATTTAAAATTTTACATTTTTAGCATTTTTTGTTTTTTAATTATTATTTAATTAGCTATCTTGTTTTAATCAAGTAAGAAATGGTAGCATCAGAAGCTACATAGCTGATGATATTTTCATAGACGAAACGTAGTAAAATGGTAAAGTGTAACATATCGTTGTATTTAGCTATACGAAAGCTATAAAAAATTACAGTTAAAAATACAGGTCCGTATTTAAAAAAATAAGTTGTAGGTGGCCCTGGAAATACGAAACGTCGTAATAAAAATTTTGACATGGCAGATTATAGGGAACTTGATTTATAACAAAAACTTCGTATAATTTTTTTTTGTATCTTATAATAAAACGCACGACTTAAAAAACGAAAATGAGGTTTTTCGGATTTTATCGAATATCTCCGGAACCAGTAGGAAAATCTGGAACTTATATGGACCATTGTATTATCCGTCAAAATATGAAACTTTTTCCCCATTTAACCGACAATGTATATCTTACGGTTTACGAGATCTCTGCATACGCAAATTAAATCCGGTCCACCCTGTATACGTTGGAAGTTGTGCTAATAAAACATATTATTATATCGTCTCTTTATGCATTTTCTCCTGACTTAGCTATTGGATAAATCCAATGTAACTGTTTTGGTTGCTTCCTACAATTACACGCTCTTCTCATAGCATATTTACTAGTCTTCAAACAATAATTTATTAAGAGATTTTAAGTGAATTACGAAGGAATTCTGGAATTTATGGAAGATTGGCAACCCTAAGAGTATCCAAAATATAATTGAGAAAGAAAAACGAATAAAAGTATTGGATAGATTTCACCATAAACAATTGATTATGATTGTTCATAAGTCATAAAAGTATTAGTAATAAAATCACACAATGGCTAATTTAACTTTTTATTTAATAATAGTGTTTGTGTTTAAATGGTTAAGTAATTTAGACTATTTGTGATAATCTTAATTTATTTTTTAAAAATCATTTTGGAAATTCCAAAATTTTAATTAGGTGTTTATAAAACGCTATAATAGAATGCTGATTTCCTATTTTAAATAATGATAAAATAGTAAGCAAGAATATTTTTTAATATTTATACGATAAACAATAACAATTGTCTCTCCAAAGAGAAGATATCTGAAAAATATAAAAGTAGTAGTAGGGAAGAAATAACAATGAAAAAGGTGACAGAAAATATAGTCTAATAAAACATAAATAATTCTTTAATATAAATAAATGTTCAGGTGTGAACAGAATAAAGATGAAAAAATGAAGAACAAGTTATTTTAATATCAATCCTCATTTATCTACAAAGTCTAAAACAGTAAAATAAATAAACACCATAAGTTCTGACTGGAACTTCCTGGACTCAGGTAGGTAATCCAAAACATTCATGAAGAGTCCATTTAATAGCAAGAAAGAACTGAAGACCGCAATGGGAAGCTGTTGTCTTAAAAGAGACCTGAATCTTTTTGACATTATGCTAATTCACTAGTAATCTTCTATATTTTTTTTATTAGCAATAGTCATCACTTTAGCCAACTGGCGCTAATGAATTAGCAAAATGTTAACGCAACTTTGACGATTACCTAGGTAGAAAATGTGTAGAAGAGGCTAAAACTACATAATACAAATTTTCCCGTACTATTACCAGAAACTTAATAATTGAACCAGCCTATAATATCAATTTACTTTTTTTGCAAAATTAAGAAACAAAAAAATATATTTACCCTTCGAGGCCGCCAATTAACGTGACCATCTTCAGTGATAATTTAAGGAAGTGGAAGCGAAATTTCGCGAGTTGCACCAGCTATAGCAGTCGATCCACGTTGATGTTTCCACGTACATACACTTAACCTCTAACAGCGCTAGCGAGCGAGTTTTGAATGTTTGTAAACTCAAAGCAACAAAACCAAAACCGAAAAGTCTGGTGTGCCGTGGGACGTGCTCGGTTTCGTTCCGAGGATAAATTACGTCACATTCGG